GTTTTAAATTAACAGTAATAAAAAGTTTTAAAATATTTTTATATTGTTTCATTCATATACACACACACAAAGAGAGCATCAATTATTCTTAAAAACAGAAATCATAATGATAAGATCACAGTCTTCTGTGCAACTGCAAAATCTATTAAGTTTGAAACATTTTACAGAATAAATAACAAAATCAGAAATATAATGAACTGTTGGCATACAAGAAATATCTGGTATGATATGGAAACTTACTCCAGGAGCTGTAGCCACCACTCTGTAAGGGAAAAGATAGAGGTCCAGACCTACTTGCTGGAATATATTCTGGAAAACAGCAATGACCTGAAGGGCTAGCATGTCCTGTGATGAATATGAAACAAGAATTTTCAACATGATAAGTACAAAACAGCCATAAGTTGGATGTTTAATGTTAATTGTTGGGGGGAAGAGCCTTAATTTATGAAATTATTTTATGTTTGATACAATCACATAATTAAAAACTTAACAAACTGAAACGTCTTTTCTGAATCTTTATCAACACCTCTTGGCTTCAGACACATTTTATGGTTTCAGTTTCAAAGCCAGCATGAGAGTGGGCTTACTTTAGAATTATGATTGGGTTGTAATAGATTACCTGTGTATTTTTTTATACTCGTACAAAAAAAACAAAAAAATTCAGTATATTATAGTGTTGGAACCAGGAACTACTGTACCTTTGAGTGTACAGTATCTTAACTGTTTTTTCCCCTTTCAAAATATATCATGATAATATGCTTCTCAACTTATCTGTGAATCATTTGCCAATTAAAGTTGAGAATACCAGTTTGGTTCAGAAACACTGAACAAAATCTACAAGTCTGAAAATAAGATGTCTGCTATGTTCCTTAATAGCATTTTAAAACATACGACAATTCAACCAATCACAGATCTTAAACAATACTGTGCAATATACAGTACGGTTTAAATTTAAAATAATTTTAGCATTAAACACAAAAAGAGAAACATTTTGTAAAATAGGCATAAAAATGTCCAAATATTATATGAGCATTTAGCAAATCACTATTATCACTGTCACTTAAATTCTTGAAGTTTTAACACCTGATCATAAACACCATGAATCTATAATCTAAAATACTAATAAATGACTGATTTTGAAAACAAAAAAACAAAATGGAAGTAAAATACAACAAAAAGCAAACTCTAAAGGACGCTTTAAGACCCATGTGACAACAATAAAAAAACACATTCTAAAAAATGTCCTGAGACCTACTTGACGAACATCGTCTCCAACTTTAAAGATCGCAGCCTGCCAGTGCTCATTACCCATTTCTGAGTTAGTGGTGACTGTGTTGTTCTGACTGATGTTCAATGCTTGATTCTCCAGTTCCTTGATGCCAGTATGCCGAACTTTAAATCGAGCCAGAAATGGAGCTTTTGCAGCACTGAAAAATGATTTAAAAAAAATTTTAAATTTTCAAATCAATACCTTCTTCCTATGACCCAAAAGTATCTCTGAATTACACAAAGCTTGTGTTATCATGTATGTACAATAATCATATTAAAATTTGCACTTTCTTGTACCCAAAATTCATCCCTATTTTCAATAATCAACCGAGACAGCACATCCTCTGTAATGATACATATACTTAAACAAGCTTATATTTGGTAAATGTAAATTTCAAATGGAACATACTTCTTCTTTGCACTGAAAAACTGAGTAGGATATAGCATTAAAAACAAACTTATAAGCATTTGTTTACTTAAGCAAAAAAAATGTAGAGATGTAGAAAAACACTGAGTCAAAACAACAATGATAATGTGCAAGTTGTCCATGCTAAGATAAGATATTATTGGGTGCTACTATAGCGTGTGGTCTACAAAGATATTTACACTATAGTGTGCGAACTACACAGATACTATCATCATCACCATTTTAATGATTCACTAAAACATAATTTGTTGCTATATAATTCATATTTATCCACGCTTTTATTCAGCAAATAATAATAATCTAATAAGTTGTGTATTCCAAAAGAGTACCTTAAGTTTAGGTTATAATTGTGATCAGTTTTGATTGTTGGAACTTATTTCATTCCAATAATTATATTTGCCCCAAAACCATTATGTAATGGTATTTTGTACCTTATTAGTTTAAAAGCATTATTTATAATAAACAGCATCAATTGAAAATAAACAAATGTTAAAATGGTGATGATGTTAATATCTGTGTAGACCGCATGCTATAATGAACTGAATAATTAATTCAAAAAACGACTATAGCTGCAACTTTTACAGCAGGCAAGTTCTGATTTTAATGACTATAATGTCTCAACTCATAGTATCGGGTCATTATTAGGTAAAACTTTTACTTTACATACTAGAAGTCAAAAAGTTGTAATCATTAAAATCAGAAATTGCCTGCTGTAAAAGTTGCAGTTATTATATTTTTGAATTAAGATATCCTTTAAAGACATGACAGTGATTCTACCTATAACAACTTTGTGTAGAAGTCTTTGTCTTTACAGATTGTTTGTTGGAATGTTAAGGGTAAAAAGTAATCAGTTTGACTGTAAAGCAAGAAGCGTTTGCAAAAACAGTCCACAACATTGCTTAGAAAATCTTCATTAACTTAAAATGTCTGAGAGAGCAAAAATATTTTTAAGACCATTTTTTTTTGTTTTTTTATGAAAGATAAAAATTTCTGGTATTATAAGTTTCAACCTCTACTACACATAACATTTGTCATCCCTTACCTCTGCATGGGTGTACCAGACTTGTAATCATATTATAAGTTTCAACCTCTACTACACATAACATTCGTCATCCCTTACCTCTGCATGGGTGTACCAGACTTGTAATCATATTATAAGTTTCAACCTCTACTACACATAACATTCGTCATCCCTTACCTCTGCATGGGTGTACCAGACTTGTAATCATATTATAAGTTTCAACCTCTACTACACATAACATTCGTCATCCCTTACCTCTGCATGGGTGTACCAGACTTGTAATCAATATCTACAACAATAGCCTCTGGATTGGAAGGAAGGTAACAACCAGGCTGAACTTGTATTTTACTCAGAGCATTTAAACATGCCTGCTTCCTTTCTGGACCTTTAGGATATGATCTGTGGTACATAGATGAATAACAACAGCAATGTTCATTTAAAAAGAACTGGTTTTATTAAGAGTTGAATAAACACTGTTTTAAAAGCTTTGAAAACTGAAACAAATTTCAATAAAATGCTTAGATCTAAATGTATCATAGTTCAAATTTTCACTTAGCTATTGTTGAAAAGGTTCAATCTAAGTATTAAACTGATTCCTTGTGACGTCCATTTAAAGTGGAATAAAGGTGAACTGGACATATTTAAAGTCAGAAGTCATTAATTGAAGATTCTGTACAAAAGAAAAAATAACAACTTAATGTCTTTAAAGATTAAAGTCACAAAGATTTTTATCCCATCCATGTTGAAGAAAACAAAATCAAGAGATTTTCACGATTAACAAGTGATTTTAATCCAAACGGGACAAAAACATTTTTTTATTAGTTGTGAATCTTTTTTTAATAAAAAGGAGTAACTTATTCACAGAAGTTTATATATATATA